GGCTTGAAACACTTCATTCGAAGCCCTCCTGGCCAATACTGAGAAGTCTGTGTAATTCTGTTTTGTCTTTTTGAGATAGGGTTTCACTCTGCAGTTCAGGCTGGCCTTGAACTCACTTTGTGGCCCAGGCTGGCCTCGAACTTGCAGTGAGCCTCTCCTGCCTCAGGCTCCCAAGTGCTGAGATTATAGGTGTGTACCACCACACCCAGAAGTCTGCTGTAATTCTAAGGGATTTAACTTTATATGTGAATCATTCCCTTTCTTTAACAGCTTTTAAGATTTTGCCTGTGATAGGCTTCTGGTACCTTGACTATAATGTAAAGGTTCATTTTTGGTCATGATTATTTGGGGTTCTGTATGCCTCATATGTTTTTATTTCCTCCTGTATACTTGGGAAATTTTCTGTCATCATTCCTGTGAACAGATTTTTTATGCCATTTGTGCTGTCTTCTGATTTTTCATTTATTCCAGTTACTCCTAGATTAATCTTCTCAGTGTCACCTAGCAGCTGCTGGATCAATTTTTCATGTTCTCTTGTTACTTTTAAAGTATTTGAGCAGTTGGTCTTTGAAGGCATCATAGTCTTCCACTTTTGAAATTTTGTTCTCACATGAGTTGTTTCTACTGTCCAGTATAATTTTTAATCTCCTGGTTTCTGATTGAAACCTTTTCATGCATTCTAATTCTTTGCTAAACTGGTTGTTCATATTTTATATAGTTTTATTTAGCTCAACTAACTTTTGATTAGTGTCTTCTGAAAGCCACTTGGTTATTACTTCCACTGTCTGTTTCATTATATCTTCTGTGATCCTGCTGAGTACCTCTTTGATCTGGGGGCTGGGGATTTAGCTCAGCGGCAAAAGCGCCTGCCTGGCAAGCGCGAAGTCGTGAGTTCGGTTCCTGGTACCGGAGAAAAAAACAAAAACAAAAAAACAAAAACCTCTTTGATCTGTTTTCTAACCTCCACGGTTATCCTTAAAGTAATTCGGGTGTGTGGCTTATGGCATCCTGTCTCTTGGTGGCCTGACAGTTGGATTCAGGGGAATTGGAACTTCAAGGAAGCTTTTTTTTTTTTTTTTTTGCCTTGTCTTTTCATGTTTCTGTTGGCTTTTTTGTATGTTTTATTTTGTTTTGAGTTTTATGGATGCTTATCATGTAGACTTTGTTGCTAGTATAGAGATCTCTTTAAGTAGTCACTTTTTAGTGATGTATTTTTGGTGTGGCTAGCTTTTGGCCCATAATCAAGTTTTCTGGGAATGTAATCTAGTATTGTTAATGTGAGAAAGGCAATCTGAGTGTTGGTTTACGAGAAATCCCATTAATCGTGCAGTTTTGCAACCTTTGTAATATCAAGAAAATCAGTTATAGTAGTATTGTCTAAGACAAACAGGATATTAACAAACTATAAAAATCAATTATGTACCACCCTTAACTGTAGAGAAGAAATCCATATTCTGGTGTAAACATTTAAGTCCACCCAGGTATTGAGTTATAGATAACATGTACTAAATACAGCAGGAATATCTCCTCTAATGGTAGAAAATAGTTCAGCAGTAACTTTATAGTGTTAACTATCTAAAGATTAATGCATCTTTATGGTTACACTATTAAAGATATAAGATGTAGGGGAATGCAAGAAGGAAAACTTGAAACTTAATATGATAGGAGGAGAAACAGTACAAAGACTCCAATTGGGGAGTAGAAGGATATTTATAGAATTAGGGTAAGGTAAGAGAGTAAACTCATGAGAAATAGAAGATAAAAAGAGAGAAAAAAAGAAATGGGGACTAAAATAGAGAAAAAAATGAAGTGAGATAAAAGGGAGATGCAAAAGAAAAAAAGAAGTAAGGGAAAAAAGATAAGCAGGGAAAAAGAACAAAAGAAAATTCCCAAAGCACCAATAAACTGGTGAACAAAGAAAGGAAAAAACAAAAATTAAAAATTAAAGGTAATGCACACACTCACAAAAAAAATATCTCTCTGTGATTTTGAATGTGTGGTTTTACTATAAGGATCTACAGTTTCGGGGCAGTGTCCAAGTGAAGACATGTCCCCTGTGTCTCTCCTTGCCCTGGTAGTTAAGGCATTCACACCCCAGATCCATGCTGGATACAGGCACCAGCAGGCAATAGTATTAGGGCAAGTCCTCCAGTGCCACAAATTTTCAAATCCAAAACAACTCAGGCTGAGCCTGGCCTCTGCTGATGGGGGTAGAGTCTATATCTTTTAGCTCAGACCTCTCAGGGGTTTCTTTCCATCCTACTCCCTGGCTTTGGCCATCTCCCATGGCTGTGTCTTACCCAGTCACTGCAGAAACTTCACACTGGGAGCCCTGTAGTGAGGCCATCCCATAGCTGCCCTGAGTCCCAGGTTCAAACAGTCAACCCTTCAGCAGCCTGGTTCCCTACCAAGCACTCTCTCCAAGGATATACTGGGCTCTTGAACTGGAGTCACTCATCAGCTATTGCCTGTTGAAGGATTCATGTGGAAATAGAATCCCAAGCTCTCCCTGCAGGTCACTTACCCACTGGTTTGTTCTGCCACTGCATTTCTCCTAAAGCCCCCTAGAGTCTCCACCTTTCACTTTGTCTCTGTAGATTCAGTCTCCCTTTCCCCCTTGCCATGAGCCCGGAACTGGGGATAAAGTATAGACTGTTCCTTTCCTTTTCAATTTTGTGTTCTGTCTTTTCAATTTCTCTGTAGGTTTTAGTTTTCCTGTCAGATTGTTCCTGATTCCTAGGTCGATCAGTGTCTCTGTCTCTGTCTCTGTCTCTGTCTCTCTCTCTCTCTCTCTCTCTCTCCTCTCTCTCCCTCTCCTCTCTCTTTTTCTCTCTCTCTCTCTCCCTTTCTTCTCTCTCCCTCCCTGCCTCCCCCCTCTCTCTCTCTCTCATCTCTTTCTTTCTATCTATTTATCTAAAAGAGACTGCGTTGTTGTTGTTTACCACCTTGCCCTTTTCCAAACTGGAAATTGACATAACATAACTAATAAAAACAACTGCTGTATGATACCAATAATAGCATAGAGTCAACTGAATATCTGAAGATGAATAAAGCTTCATGGTAATACTGGTAAAGAGGTGGTGTTGAGAAATGGGAAGATTAAAGATAGAAAATTTTAAATAGAAAAGACAACAAGGAGAGAAATGAGATACTGGATCTTATTCAAAAGAAAATTAAAGAATTAGACAAATGTAACAGAAAAGAACATAGAAAAAGAAAACAAGATAAAATAGCAAAATAGAGAAATGAAAATTCAAATTACAAAAGGGAAAAATCTAACCCCTCCCCCCAAAAAAAACCAGTGAAGAAAATGAGAAAATGATTCAAAACAAATTTCTCCATGTTTTCAAATGTGTGGTTTCCTTCTAGGGTCTGCAGTATTGGAATCCAGCAGATATGGGCAAGGGATAATGAGTTACTACTTAGACCCATTTTGTTTCCTTACTCACATTTTGGTGTGTGAATGCTGAATCCTGTCCTGCTTTTCTTGCTGGGCAGTCTGACTGTCAATAATGTTCACCCTAAGGCTTTATGTACTTCAGTTGCTCCCAGTTTCTGTGCTCCTCTGTGCACCCCATTCATGGCTTTTTCCACCTACTTTTAGAACCTATGGGTTTGTGAAGTGCTCCACCTGGTCCAGAGGCCCCTTTACCGTACACAGCCTAGGCTGTGGCAACCCTCCAAGCTGAGGCATATATCACTGATCACATTGGCAGATGGGGAAAACGAACAAACTACTGAGCTGTGTTGGATGTAGGCTGCTGAGGGTGGAGAGGAGTCAGGCAGTCCGTTAGACTTAATGCCAGCCCTTTCAGACATGGCCTGCTCCAAAAGCCACAGACATCTGGCTTGGCTTCTCAACTCAGAAGTCAAGATCCCTGTGTCCTTCCCAGCCTTAGCTTAAACTTCTTAGGGGGATTGTGTGTGGCCTGAGCCCAGTCTGCAGCTGTTTCTTTCGGCTATCTCCTACACAGTCACTATGGTAGGGTGACCCCAGAAACCCTGAAGTGTAGTAGTTCTGCAGTTCATTTTAAAACAGTCCCTTTCCAAAATGGCTGTTAATTAAATACTCTCAAATATGGTAGGCATTACACTGGGTGGATTTCTTCTCCAACTCTACACTGCCATGTGGAAAGAATTGCTTTCAGAGTGAAAACACCACACTGTTCGTTTATTGCTTTTTAATTTTTTGGTGCTGAGGACTGAACCCAGGGCCTCCCACTTACTAGATAAGTGTACTACCACTGAGCTAAATCCCTAGGCACCACCACCACCACCATTTTTGCAGTCTATAATAACCACAAACTTTCCTTGGAACTAGTGATGCTATCCTGTGTTTCTCTATGGAGCTGCTGACCCTTTTCTGACTTACCTTGTGTTAGCAGAGACAGATTTCCCCTCCCCAGTAGCTGGGGTTAGTGTTCTAGCCTGCTTTGTTGTTTTCTCTGTTGTACTCCATAGCTTCTCTGTAGTTTTCTCATTGTCCTATCACCCTCTCCCAATTCACAGAGATCTACTTTTTTCTTTCATTAGGTTGTTTTCCAGGTGCCTCAATTTCAGGTCCCAGAGAGAGTGTATTCAGCTGTCTTTTTTTCTGTTTGAGACTGGTTCTTGCCAAATAGTTGGGGCTGCCTCCTTTTCTGTTTGCTTGTTTTGTTTGTTTTTTTTTTGTTTTGTTTTATAGACAAGGCTTTGCTATGTTGCCCATGCTGGTCTGAAACTCCTGGGCTCAAGCAAGCAGCCTCCTGCCTCAGCCTCCCAATTCGTTGGGACTACAATTGTGTTCCACCACTCTCAGCTGCAAAATTTATTTAAGTGAATGAAATTTGAACATTTGGGATGCTTTTCCCTTCAGATTACTACGTGGAACTATAAGTTTAAGAAATATACATGATCTTTTGTCATAATTATTATATTGTTAGCATAAATCTGTTAACTCATTGTAAATATATAAATTTCAAAACTTCATTGTTGTGTTTCATTAATTTTTATTTCTACAGAACTTTATAGCAACTGAAGTACTCAAATTGTTCAGTCTTAAAAAAGAGACAAACCACAAAACAGATTGGCAGAAAATGATGAAATTTGGAAGAAAGAAAAGAGACCGAGTGGATCATATCCTGGTCAGTGTATACATCCAAACAATTTTTATTTTGACCATGTCTTATAAAATCAGAGTGTAGATAGATTCCAGAAGGGAAAAGGATAATTGATCTTAAAGCTATGAGATAAAAATTTTAAATCTTCACTTGCTGTGTTTCTACTTCTCTGTAAAAATTGCTTTGTTTTGTATTTGGCAGATGAGTATTTAACTTAGGATTTTATGAAAAGCTTGAGAAACCAAAACTTGAGTGGAAACAGTTTAACATAGTGAATTGAAAAAGACCAGTGTGGATTTTGGAGCCAGACAGATTGCTTGAACTTAGAATTTGTTTTGCTAGATGGAGCATAATATTAGACAAGTTCATGTACCCTTTTTTTGCCTTGTTTCTCTGTCTGTAAAATCAAGATGATAGTAATAGGTAACTATCTGATAAATTACTAGGAAAGTTAAATGAGTATTTATATATGGTCATGCATTGCTTAATGATAGGGATGCCTACATTGTACAAAATGTCATAGAATATACTACACAAACCTAGATGGTATAATTGGTCACTTGATAGAGCCTCTTGATTTAAGCAAGAGATGAGAAACAAGATGTTTGAGGCTACTGTGGGAATACCATGGCATACTATTTTACAGCCAACTTTTTCTTTAATAAGTAAAAGGAAATACATTCTAAATAATGCCTTCAAAATAGTTAACAGATAAACCTTATTGTCATTATTCAGTGTTTATATATTGTACGTAATTGTGCTATACTTTTTTACAACTGGCAATGCAGTAGGTTTATTTATAACAAACCATGATCATATGAGTAATACGGTTGTGCTATGACTTTGTAGAGGACCATAATGTCACTAATTGGTAGGAATTTTTCAGCTCCTGTTGCCCACCATGGTATACATTGTTGTTGACTAATCATTATGCAAGGTATGACTGTTTGTGTAAAACACTTAGAACAGTTCATAACAGTTCCCCACATATAACTGAATAAATATTAGCTGTTACCACATCATCATCATCATCATCCGGAACTTTAGCTGGATAACCTCCTTGGTTTTTCAGTATGTTTCTCTAACATTAGAAAATGTTTATTAAAAGAAAAGAAAAAATTGTTATCCCTAAAAAAAGAATGTAAAAGAAAACTCAGATGTTACTTTTCAATACTTTCCCCATGTATGTAATTCTCTAGTACTTCATTTACTCAGTAACAACTATACTAAATAGCATTTATTTGGCATTTTATAGTATAATCATTCTTTCTCATGTTTTACTTGATCCTCACAATAATATGAGATAGGAAGGACTAATGTTATTCTCTGTTTTACAAATGAGAAACTTATATTCAACTCTGTTAAGTGACTTTCCCAGCAAATAAGAACCAAGATTTTAACCAATTAATTCATAGATCTTTCTCAAGAAGGTGAATTAGTTTCCTGTTTCTACAGTGTTTAAAGTTTATTAATTGTCAAGTGTGACATCCTTTATTTCTTAAAGGTTAAAGACATAGTGCCTGCCTAGCAAGCACAAGGTCATGAGTTCAATTCCTGGTACCAAAGGAAAAAAAAAAATTAAAGAAAAAACACGTTAAGAGGCATCATCTAACCTATTAAATAAACTGATCATATCCCTTATAAATCATCTGTATATATATATATTGAGTCAGGAATTATGCTAATTAAAGACTGATGTTTAAATGGGAAGCAAAGCAGACATAGTCTGTGCCTTCTTGGATTTCCACTTTGCTGGCAAAAGCTAACCCATAATATGTAATTTACACATGCATGTAATTATAAATTAGCAACAAAAATAGAATAGAGGGAACTGTTATAAAAGCATAAACTAGAGGAAACTGATCTAGGACAGACTTCCCTGAGATCAAAGTAACATTTGAGTTCACATCTTAAAGATAAAAGGCATTAACGAAACTCTCTGATAGAATGATTCAGGGAGAGTAAACTACATGTGCAAAGAACCTAAAATGAGAAGAAGATACTTGGGTTTGACCTTAAATGTCAATGATGGAGGAGCTGGCATAAGATAAACTGAAAAAGGTAACTTCTAAATTGTGCAGTGCTTTTTAAGATTTTATATTTTATCTTAAAAAGCAAGGAATTTTTTTTTTTGGTACCTGGAATTGAACTCAGGACCCTGTGCTTGCCAGGCTGGCATTTGTGCTACTGAGCTACATCCCCGGCCCTAAAAAGCAAGGAATTTAAACAAGAGAAGTTAGATTCATAGTTTTAAAAAATCATGGAGGATTCCAGTCATGAGGGAGGCTAGGGTAGATGGAGTTCAGGTTCAGGTCTCACCAGAGCAGTTTAGCAAGACCCTGTCTTGCTTGCGGATGGATAGATGGATGGATGGATGGAATCTTAGTTACTTTTTTGTTGCTAGGACATAATACCTGTTCTGGAACATGGTGCTCTGGGTTTCTCTTCTCAATGCAAAGTCTTTTACCTTCGTAACTTTGAGGCTGCAAATGGTGGAGTCCTGTTAGTCCCTGTGGTATCCTCAGGACATCTTTTCTATTGTCCAGTTCCTTCTCAGCAACCAAGTTTTCCTCTGCTCCATCTTTGCAGTTTGCAGCTTTACTGGAGCTTTCTTTTGGGCCAAACTCAAAACGTTTTAAATCTTTTTGCTGGGCCTTTTGTTCTTTGATTCTCAACATAGATCTGGCTTAAGTTCCCAATAGTAGCCATGCCATTGCCTCAACATTAGACTGCCTTGAAATTTCTTTCATTATATTAATTCATCTGTCACACTTAATCTTAGTCTCAGGCAAAGTCTCTGGATAAAAGCAAAATGCAGAGAAACTTTCTACTAAAACATCACACACATGGCCTGGAATCCAACATCTAATGCAATCCTTCCAACAGAAACCTCCTGAGTCTGGTCTTTACCAGTAGCATTGCTGTCAGCATTTTGGTTTTCTGAACTTTGACCAAAATCTCCCATCAAGTTCAGCTTGGAACATTCCAGGGCTGTTTTCTCAGCTGACATCTCCAAACATTTCCAAACTTTCCACAGCCAGTTACAAAGGCCCCTGAATTACATGGCCAGGTAGCATTGTAGTAACAACCCCACTTCTGGTACCAAAATCTATCTTAGTTACTTTTCTCATTGCTGAGACAAAATACCTAGCACCCAAAGCTAAAATTTATTGTAATTTTATTGTAATTTTACTGTAATTTATTGTAATTTTAGTTGACAGTTTGTAGAGGTTTCAGTCAGTAGTCAGCTTGTTCCAAAGCAGGGCGACATGGCAGAGGGCCGTCACAGAGAAAAAACAGTTCATGGTATGCCAGGCAAAAGACGATGAAGCATCAAGCAGCAGCAGCAACCTGCCTTTCACTTTATCCTACCCAAGCTACTAGGCTTTTGGGTGGTGCCACCCAGAACTATGCTAATTCCAGTCAATGAACTAATTCAGTACCACATACCCTTAATTCCCAGTATCATACACCCTAGATCCAGTCCACTCTGAAAAGCCTCACCTATGAGCACATGACGTTTTGGGGCAACAGATTCAAGCAATGGTTGGTAGGTAGGTAGAGGGGTGGGTGGACCAATGGACAGACCAATAGATATAATTCATTTGTAGAACACCGCTGGGTTTGATCTCCAGTACCTGCCCAAAAAAAATCATGGAAGAATAAAGACAGCTAGAAGTGAATTGTAGGTGAAACATGGCTGTTTTGGTATATGTAAGCAAAATGTCTTATGTAAGTTTTTCTTGAGCATATGTCAGAGGAAAGAAGAAACTAGGATAGATAGTCCACAAATGCAGAATAAATTCAAGAGCAAAGACATAACATATGAGACTTTAACCAGTTACAGACTGCTACCTCACATGGTTACAAAAATGTCATTCTTAGTAGTAGAAAGATTAAATGTATTGGAGAGAGGGCAGCAGTTGGAGCCGTCTTCAGTCCTGAATTATTAATATATTAATATAAAATAACAAATAATATATCTAATAAGTAAGTAATAGGCAAAATGATTTGTAGCTCTTTACAAAATGTATCAAAAAACAAGATATTGTACCCTGACAGCAGTGGCTTCCAGATAATACCAAGTAAAATCAGTTAAGTAAGCAGAGGCCCCTCCAGCAGTCATCAGAAAATTCTCAAATATTAAGCAAAAGATTTCAATTGCAAGTGTAAGATTATTACAGTTTAAGTGAGGTTATATCTGTGGGTAAGAAGAGATTTAGCAATTGGCTGGTTGTAAAATATTTTTCAATTTCTTACAGGAAACTTGACCCATGTATATAATGATATCTATGAGCTTATTCTTTTTAATGTTTAATAAAATCATAATATTAACTTCTTGAGGTAATTATTTACAAAAAGGGCCAAGTAAGTTAGTCTTTCTTACTATTTGATTTGGCCAACCTAACATTTATAAATTCTGACCTCTTGCAATTTAGAAGGAGTAAGATTTAAAACAACCATTTTTTGTAATACATAAAACAAAAAATTTTCCTGTAGTGCAAAAGAAGATCTAAAAAAGGAACTTTAAAATAGTTTTAAAAATATTTATTATAAGATAATTATGCTCCCTTTAGAAAGCTTAGAAAATTACAATGAAAAAATTATGAAAATTTCACCACCTGAATAACAATATCGATGTACATAAATTTTGGCTCTTTACAGAGAGAGTTTTTTAAAAACATATTCATATAATAGTGTTTTTTTAGTCTAATTGCTTTTACTTCATAAAATATGGGAATAGTTCCTTTACATTAAATGTTTATTTTATAGTATTTTTAAATAACTCTTTCCTATTTTATTTTGGTGGAAATATAATAGTCCATCATGTGGCGGTATTGTAATTTATTTAACTAGTCAGTAATGTTTTTGCTCTTGGAAACAACACTGTTATAACAAAATCTGGCAGTATGTCTTTGCATATATTTTCAGTAATTTCTTTAAGATAAATTCCTAAGAGTAGAATTGTTAAAATGCATGCAGAATATTAAGATGTTTTTGTGTTGCCAAATTGTTTTCCAGAAAGGTTGTAATAATTATATATACTCAACAGCACTATAGATGAGTTGTTCTTGTCTTTGATAGTACTAGCTCTTATGAATTTTTTAATCTTTTTAAAATGAGCTTATTTTACTGTATATAACTTTATATAGAAACCATTCTGCGTTCAGTTGCCGTCTTCCTAAAGACACTTTTAGTATTCCAGGCTGAGTCTTACTTTTCATGTTGCTGAGACAAAATATACAACACCTAACGTTAAAGAAGAAAAGTTTATTTTGGCACAAAATAAAATTTAGATGTTTCAGTCCTTTATCAGCTGGCTCCAAAGCAGGATGGCGTGGCAAAGAGGCATCACAGAGGAGAAAAAAACAGTTGTTGGCATGAAAGGCAGAAGGCAGGAGGCAGCAAAAACAGCAAGCAGGAAGTGACAGCAGCAGCCCTCTTTCTGTCCTTTGTATTCTATCCAGGCTACCCTGGATAGGGTAGGGTAGCACTAGGTTCAGGTTGCTGTTAGGGCGGGTAGCACTCACATCACTCACTCCCATTAGCCACACCCAGAAGTATGCCAAACCAATCAGTAGAATAATTTATTAATTACACACACTTGATCCCAGCATCACACACCTGGCGCTACCATCACACACTTAAGCCCAGCATCGCACACTCTAGAGTGTGGCACGTGCGCACGCACACACTCTCTCTCTCTCTCTCTCTCTCTCTCTCTCTCTCCACCTCTGAAAAACCCCACCTATGACCAAACGAGGCCTAAAAATATCTTTATTTCAATTCTTCCATTTTGAAAGATAGTTTAGATTAGTTCAGTATTAAATTCTGAATTGGATATTTCTTTTACCTGAACAGTTTAAACATATTCCATTGTAATTTGACCTCTCTCTTCTTGTTCTTGAGAAATTTAACATTCCTTTGTGGGGACTCAGTCTTCTGTTTGGTTTCTGTTTAAGATTGTGTGTGTGTGTGTGTGTGTGTGTGTGTGTGTGTGTGTGTGTGTGTGTGTGTATTCACCAAGGTAGACTTCTGGTTAGACACCTTTGACCCTGCAGTTAACTTTGCTGAATTTGTGATTAGATAAGCATTCAGCATCTGTTTTGTCTACCTGGCCTCCATCCTACTCAGTGTCATTATGTATAAGAAGTATAACATGTTTCTTTTTATAACAGTCATTTTTAAATATCTTGAGCACTTAGTTCTAATTTGATTAGTATTGATTTACCTAAGAATCTCAGAATCCTAAAATGCAAAAAGAAAAAATATTACATAACAGTAACTTTTAAAAGAAATTTAGGTAGTATTATAGTTTTTCAAATATCTTAATGAGTATTAAATGTTACTCTTGTATTTGTAATACTCCAGAATCATGTCCCATATTATCTTTGTATATATACATTTTATAATTGTAAATCTATATTTTGTGTACTTTTCTTTCTCTTAAATTCCCGTACATGTTTCTGTCTGTTAACATAGTATAGTCACAATCCTTAATATCTATAAAATACTGGGATACTGTCAAACTGAAATATAGTTTTGAAGCCATTTTCATTACATTGGACAATTGTGTTTTCAAACTTTTTGTAACATTAAAAGGGATATAGATATCATTATATAAATTACCTTTTTTTCTGGGTTATTTCCTTGGACTGTATTCCCACTGGTGGGGCTACAAAGTCATCAAATATAATTCATATCCTAAATTCTGTATGACAGGGGTTTTCTAACCTTGTTGTCTTCTAAATATTAGGTACAAGAGCTCCACGAGGAGGAGGCACAGTGGGTGAACTATGATGAGGACGAGTTGTGTGTGAAGATGCAGCTGGCTGATGGGATCTTTGAAACCTTGATCAAAGATACTATTGATGTTCTGAATCAGATCAGTGAAAAACAGGGGAGAATGCTACTTGTGTGACATCTTGCAAATAAATTGAACACTGAGTGTTAATATGAGTCCTGGGCCTTTCTGCCTCCTGATGTACACCCCATCTCCATCATAGCAAGAGTGCTTCCGGACCTTGCACCTGTTCTGTGGACTGCTGATTTTGGAGTTCATGGGATAATACAGAATAGCTGATATTACAACCTTTGCCTTTAGACTGTCCACTGGATTACGTGGTTATTTTCAGTGGGCAGGGTTACACTCCTGATGTTGAGACACAATATAATTCTGTGTCTCTTGGTAGCACCCCTTCTAGGTCTCAGATGAGAGCTCAGCACAGCAGACTTAACCTCCATGCTTAGACTAGGGTATCATTTCCTTGAGTCTGAAGTCAGGCAAGAGAGGTATATAGATAAACTTATCATACAATTTTTGAAATATAATCCTGGTCTATACCATGAAAGTCATACATGAACATTATAATCTTTTAAACAGTATTAAACCCTTAATCATTTCTAAAATGCGCAGGTTTAATGCCTATTTCACATTCTGGAGTTGATTCCATTTCTTTTTGGAGACCATTTTCTTCCATTAGTACAGTTCAGCAGCACCAAGCAGACTGTCAAATTAACAGAAATAAATGATAACCTTGCTTTCTGAGCGCCACCTAAAGAACTGCAAACCCTTGCATTATGTTTAGTTTTTCTGTCTGGGCATGAAAACAGATGCCCCCACTGAAGACTGGGCTTAAAGGACTGCTGCAGGGCTGATTCCTCTATCCCTTGTTTTCCCCCTGCACTTTTCTTCCTCGTCCTGAACCTCTACGAGCTGCTCCCAGAATCACAGATACTCAGGACCATCTCAGGCATCCAGGCATGGCAAACGTGGAAATAATTCATTTTGGCCTTCAAACTTTCAACTCCCATCTCTCCCCAAGAAGTCAGAGACGCTGTTACTTGAATGATTTAGGAAATGAGTGTGTGCACCAAAGACAAAAAGATATTGTCTATCGTTTGTGTGCTTGTTTTACTCTATGGAACATTTTTTTAATTTATTTTAAGATAAATTATTAAGTTGAAAATGTATGTCCCTATTCAGAAGTAAAAGATTCTTCTAATAGTTAAACCTCCGTCTTGAAGCTTCTATGGTTCATAGTGTTTGCACAGGAAACCTGTGGTTTTAAGAAACCCACATACATATTGAAGAAGTCAGTTCAATTCAGTGAAAAGAAGATGAGCTTTTTCAAGATCACTTACAATAGCAGGAATGGGAGAAAATGACTTCAAGACACTGTAACATTTAATCCTGCCTCTCTTGCAGCATTGCTTCTTACAACTATGACCTATATTTGAAAAAAAATTCTGTTGACTCCAGCTGCTACACTAGAGCACATGAGATGCTCTTCTGGGACCTCAGTACCTGCCTTCCTGACTGGTTTCTCTTAATCAGTCCTATCCCTCTTCACGTAATCCAGAAGAATGTGGATAATCTTAGGCGTGAATGTAAATGCCTTAATCTTGAAGGTCCAGATTAGAAGCATGATATGAGACATCCACTGGATTCATAGTTAAAATATCCTGGAATGTTATAGTTTCAAAATGTTAGAAAACCCCAAAGATGGTATAATCTAAGTGTGCACGTTTGTTTATTTCTGCATCCTTCCTCCAAACTGGCCTTTGCATCTTAAATGTTTCACTATGCACACTTCCATTCTTCTCTTCATCCTCTCATAAGAAACTCACTGAACTAATCATTGGAATATTTGCATTTTGCACAATGACTGGTGTGATAGCTCTTGACAGATGTGGAAAGCACTGAAATGTTGAGTCTCTGGAAATACTATTTTGATGTATTTCCAGCATTTCTTCTGGGCCTTTGATGTTGAGCTATAGTCTTGTAGCCATAATGAGCAAATTGACTAAAAGAAGCAAAGGTTTCTCGGGGTTATTAACCAGTAGTGTGGAAATATTATTTTCATATGGCCAAGGAAAAGCAAAGACTTGTCTTTTTGGTTTATGTTATTTGGAAGACAGAAAAACATCTTGTCTACATCCTTTGGGCTGTTTATAGGATCACATTGTCCTTATGATACTGAAACTTTACAGCTGCTGTAAATTTTTTATAAATGAATATCAAAATACTATAATAGGAATATAGGTTGCTTTTCTACATCTTCATTGTTTGAACCTAAAACAAATTTTTGGTAAGAAAATTTATCTTTACTCTTTATGATATCATGATTCCAGAGAAGGAAAAAATGACTCCTTATAAGTCCGTGGAATCAGCAATCTGGACTGGTAAGAAGTGCTGCCAGTGATGTGGCAGTAGCCATCCCAGCCGACTCCAGCTGTCTTTGCTCTCCAAGAGCCTGGGTTCCAGATGAGAGGCAGTAAAGACCAGTCTTACTCTTTGTCAGAAATGTCGTCCATAGTTTGTAGCAAAAACAAACAAACAAAAAGACATCTATAGTAAAAGATTTCTCATTTTAATTATGGGGATCTAATTAAAATACATTTGTTACTAGGATTAGAAATACATATGGATACCCAGCCACTTTTCCATACTGGGATCTTTTAAATCAAACTCTGCCTCTTCACCAAGAACCTACATATTCCCTCTTTCTAATCTTTACTTCTCCCTACACTCTATCTTCTTTTGGTCTGTCTTCACAGAATAAGAAAAAGATCTTTGCATCAGCAGTAATATCTTTTAGAACAGCATTGTCAGAATTTAGTAGTAAACCAACATATAGGCTTCAGATTTAATTCTGAGTCCAAAACAATTTGTGCTATCCAGGGCAGTTAACTCTGGGTTAAATAAGTACAGGGTATAGATTCCCTCTTCAGGTCTAAACAGGAATTTTTACTCTAGGGAAAAGTGGGAAGAGCTCAAAAGTAGTTAATAAGGAAGGCAATTTGTTTTTCTTTTACCTAAAAAAGAAAAGAAAATTCCTTCTGTGACTACAGGTCTCTGAGAAATTATCTTTCAAAAGAGATTTCATTGCTCATAAGAGTGTTGTGGCCTATTGATAAAAACAATTTTGTTCACTTTCTTGTCTTGAAAAAAAGTGGCCTTAGCTTTTTGCAATACTTGAATAAAGTGTGTACTCGCAAAAGAATTTCTGTAGCACAGCATTAGAGACTCATAACTTTTCTGCAAGAAATTCAGACTTACATCTTCCTTTTACTACCTTAAGAATACTAGTGAATAAACATTAACTCAAACAGCAAAGTGATAGAAACTACAATGATGTTTAATGCAAATTGTAGGAATTTACATGTTTACAAATCATCTTAACCTGGTTGTGCAGCAATTCAATAAAATATCTTTGTATTATAAAAATGTGAAGAAAAATGTAAACTGATGTAAAGGAGGTACTGTCATTTTAATTAACCTTGTTTAATAGCTTTTCCTTCTGGACTTTGCAAAGCCTTCTTGGTAAACACGTTGCAAAGCATTCTCTGGGAGGCTTAGCCTCCTTGTGTGTACTGTATTGTGCAGACATGAAAAATAAACCCGTTTACTGTGTATGTGTAAATAGCCTGGTCACCAGGCCATTTTCAGCCAATAGTCACATCCAGTGCAACTCTGCACAGAAGACTTAGGGTGTGGTTTGTAAGTATGATCTGTACAATAACTGGGATAAATTCCCATGTATACCTGTGTAAATAGATTTGTTAACTAAAATGTACTTTAAGAAAGATAAATCTGTAAATAAAAGCTGATTTATAAATTAATTTTATGTCACATGTTCATTTTTACACTCGAGCCAATCAGAAAAGGAGTTCTCAAAGTGCAGTTATTTCTGATTTCTTACTTGGTTGAAGGGCACTTATCCTTCAATAAGATGATCTGTGCATAACTGCTACTTGCCCTGCATCCGGATGCCATCAACACATAAACTTTAGTTGTTGAGCGCTGCCTTCATATTCTTAACTTCGTGCTGAGCACGACGTAGATAGCAAAGGAGGCACACATGGTTCATGAACTTATGTAGCTTAGAGTCTTAATCAAAGAGAGTCTCCAAAAAATAATTTGAGCATGGCTAGTATGCTCCAGACCGCATGCTTGAGACCTTGGGTTTCATCCCCCAGCTGCAACAAAGAAAGGGGCAGGGGGGAAAAAAAGAGTCTGAAAAATAGTGCATGACAAATTATAGCCAGTGCTGCAAAGAGCATACACAGGATTAGAGAATATTGTAAGTGCAGTTGGGACAGGAAAGTGTTCCTAATAAATTATAGCTTTGTTTTGCTTCCATATTTTTTGAGGTGGGGGTCTCTGTTGCCCAGGCCAGCTTACGACTTCTGTGTTCATTTGATCCTGCTTCAGCCTCCTAAGTAGCTGCAGTTACAGGCATGCAGCACTGCACTCACGACTTTGTCTTGAACATTGATGGGCTTCTGCTAATCTATGGCAGATGGCCATTTCTCCCAGATGACTTGTTTTGTTGACCCTTGCAAAATGACACATGAAAAAGTCACACAAATAAGCAGACCACAAAGAAGAACAGCCAACTGATGACTGACTTTCTTTTTTTTTTTTTTTTTTCTAGAAAAAAGGAGCTTGGAGAATGGACCTGTATGTGTAGAAGACTAAAAACTTTTGAGGACAGAAATGTATGGCACTAGGGATAATAAATCATGGTCCAACAGGTTAGAAGTAGTCATTGTCTCACCTAAATTCTAGTTGCCTCTTGAGGGCCACATCTGCTACACTTTTAATCCCTTGCTCAGGAAATGGTTTACAAATTGCAGTACATTCTAAATATTCAGTTCATAAAAGTCACGTGTGCCTGCTGTGTGCCAGATATTGTACATGCTCCTTAGTAATGATTTAATCTTGAAAAAAAAAAGACCAAATGCCTGTAACTGCATCAAAATACAAGAAAATGGTAGATGAGAAAATGGCAGGTGTCAAGAATGGTGAGACATGAAAATTACAAAGACCTACCAAAGTGAATACAAAGGAGAAATAAGTCAATCTCCTACAAACTCTCAAAGAACTCTCGAATTTAGAGATACTGGTTGCACACACACACAAAAGTGCAAAGCATAGAGATTATTTTCACATCTGGGCAGCCAAAATCAACAGGTGGGTGAATCCTTCCCAGAGAAGAGGTCAGTATATAATTTAGAGTCACCCAAAACAGACAACACACAATGTTTACCTAAAGCCAGAAGAGTGAAAATGTGCTAGATCCAGCCCCTTGCAAAACCTTGGTCCCCCATGGCCAGCATGACGCACTGTGTCCAATGTGAGCAGCATAATTGTAAGTGCCCCATTCATGCTAAAGGGAAAGGACCTTCCCTCCCCCATGAAATCTGAAAGAAAGCTGCGCGCCATGCTGAGGGCCACTGACAGGAGCTTAATCAGAATGAAGAGCACCCTGAGTCATGAACAAGGAAAGCTATTCTTCACAAGGAGATAAACCCACCGCAGGGTAAAGAGTGTTCCGGACCCACAGCTTGTTCTTGTGTGACCATGAAGGAAGTTACACATAAGTGCTTTGCCCAACAGTCTACCCCCAGCTGAAATAGACACATAGCATAACAAATTCAGGAAGACAAATACAGAGGGAGAGCCCAGTCTAATGGGGCTTGAACAACCTTTAGGATGCAATTTGCTGGCAGGACCTTCTTACTCACTTTGAGACATTTTACCAAGATGAGTAGAAAAACCAAACCTAGGAGGATGATCAGGCCTCCCTGGAGGATGGCCTTCAACCAAGAACCCCATAGTGCCTGGATTAGAACAACTGAAGAGGTTTAAAAAAATGCATCTTGGGGACCCTTCTGGGTGTACAGCTGATAACCATCCCATCTGAGCATGGGTCGCCAACTCCATTTCTGCTTTCCTTGATTGTTGATACACACAGAGTAGCGGGTGTCAGCACAACACAAATGCCACCTTGTTCTGCCAACAGGCAACTAAGGGCTATTGTGTTGTCCACTGTCACCTTATCTAGTGAGTTGTATCTTTCTCCACTTGAGGAAATTCCAAGCTATTGAGTGTGGGCCAAGCCATTACAACGGGAACGTGGGCTGAGAGGGACAATCCAGCACTGTTTGAGTTGGCCTTAGCTGTGGTCATTCTTATCAGGGTGTTGCCATGCGGGCACAGCAGAAGCTTCTGTAGGAACGAGAAGACAAATTAGCGCCCCCTCTACTCCAAATATAACCCCACCATGAACCTCCGGAGGCTGGAGATGCTCTTGTCTGCTGTTTTCTTGGGGATCCTCTGCCTGTTGCTTGACCCAAACCTTTCTGCTCAATCAACCCATCACACAACCTGAGGAGGAAAGCTGTATTTTAAATGAACATAACACAGCCCATAATACCATCCACTCATGTTGCAGAGTTGAGAGTCTTAGTGTGACAAGAGGAACTCTAATGCCCCAGTGTTTACTGGCTTTTCTCCCATCCCCCTGAGGTGCCACAAGAGGGCGCACCTGAGGATACCATTGCCTCCAGGCTTGAATTGGACCTAGTGGAGGCACAGCTGCTGCCCAGACCACAAACCCCTAGGGAATCTGTTCTGCTGAGCGAAAAGAAAAAAGAAAGATCGGGTGTGCTGAGATTAAGATTCTTTAGGCATAGCGCTAACCAGTGACCATCAGCTCCTCCAACCTCCTGCAGTCCATCTTATGTGATGGGAGCAATCTTGTGTTTCCTTTCTGCTGGAAGTGTCTTAAGGTTCAGATAGCTTTTGTTAGGCAAGGAGCACCATCAGTGAGTTGGGGAAGGTGAGGTTTGGTTTGGTTTGAGGTTTTGGTGGGTTTTGTGGCACTGGGGGTTGAACCCAGGACATCCCCAGCGCTTTGTTCCCAGGCTGAATTTGAGCTTTCAATCCTCCTGCTTCAGCCTCCCAGAGTGCTGGGATTACAGATGTGCACCACACACCCAACTTAGGTTTTTTGGATGACCGTTGTATAGTTCTTATTTGAGCCTTACATTCCATCATTTAATCTCCTTGTTGGTTTGGGAGGGACAGCATGAAAGGTCCATCTTATATGATGGGAACTTGTCCATTGTGGTGTTGCCTGGACTGTGAATTGGTGTCTTGCTCAGATTGGAATCTTTTTCTATGTCTAAACATTGTGACAAAGGGTTTTGTTTTTTTTTTTACCAGCTTTTCAATATCTTTATTCATAAATTAATATAATAAAGGTCAATTTGAATGTTACATGTATGATAAAGTAGATTGTGAAGAGAATCATATTTACAAGGAAACAATTATTTTATGTAAGTGAACTCAATTGTACTATGGATTTCTATTATGGACTTAATTCTGCTCCCTGAATGGACCAATTTTATCTACAAGTTCTGAGTTGGATATAGTTTCTTGGTGCTTCTTTCCATGATCTAAGGGTTAACAGAAAATTCTTTGAAACCAGCAACTGGAACTAGACCTCTTAAGGTTGAGGAGAGGCAGAAGGGGAAAAAAGGACATCAGACACAACACCACCCATCTCAACCACTGTGCCATATGCTTGACTTGAAAGCAGTCCTAGCACTTGGCATCAATGCAGAAATATATCTCCTGTCACATCTCAAAGGCTCACAACTGCTATATTATATTTATTCCCTAGCAAATAGGGAAGAAGAAATAGTCCCAACAATACATGAATATTTCTGAATGTTCAATACTAAGGATTGATTTCTAAAAAGAACAAGCAGACAGAAGCTATCCAGCTAACTATCAACTAGAATGCACGTGCAAGGGGCCACTGAGCTTACAAAACCACATGCATACATCTCACTATGGCAGACACCAGGATTTGAAGGCAGGTTTATTTAATGTCGGATGGGCACTGACAGGGAATCAGTTGTCCCTCCAAATGTCAGGCCCAGAAGGCTCAGGGTTGGAGGTTTTTATGGGGCCTGAAAAGGGGAGGTACAGAGGAAGAGAACTTGGCTGTCTTTGGTTTTTAAATAGGCATCATAGTGATCAGCCATTTCTAAGAAACAGAAGCAACCAGAACTGCAACAGGAACTGTCACCTGGACAACTAACAGACTGGCTGGGGCACATTATTTGCTGCAACCTCATTTATTTCATCTCTAATTTTAAAATAATTCACTGCTGCTGGGCATGTGCCTGCACATGCCTGTAATCCTAGCCCTTGGGAGGCTGAGGCAGAAGGATCCCTGGGAGTTTGAGACCAGCCTTTGCTACATAGTGAGACCCTATCTCAAAGCAAAACAAAAATAAATAAATAAATAAATAAAATAACTCATTGCCTTGTTGTATATGCAGGTGAGAAAAGGAGAAAGTAGAGCATCTGCAATACCAGCTGGTGCTAAGGACTTTAATGCTTCCAAAAGATGTGGGCTAGAGAAGGTTAGTAGGCACCAGAGGGAACTTTCCGTCTCAGCCAAGGTGCCCTCGTTTAAGTCACCTTTGACCTTCATTTCAAGCTTGCTTATACTGAACAAATTCTAGTTGTGGTTAAGGATAGTCTCTCAAAGTTTCTTGAGTTACTCTTTGGACTGTCTCTTTTGTTACTGTATTTTAATATTCCTTGCCTTCATTCCTGAAAATGTGTTATAGAGTTGTGATTTTCAAAGGTCTGATCATACTGTTTAAAAACAAAAGCCTTGACAGAGTCCAGCGTCTCGGGTCCATTTTCACAATCTGAAGGTGCTTGCTAACAGTTGTCAGTGCCTGACCCAGAAGGGGTACAATGTTCTTCAATCTGGAGGAAGAAGCAAAGGCCTACAGAGTGTGGGAACAGCATACGTAAGTAGATGTGCTGGTTTGGCTTTGTATACTGTGTTCTCCAGGCATTTTGAATCTACGCTCTCTGAAGAATTTTCTTAAATGAGCTTTTGACTTCTATATAAAAAAAAGTCAACATCTTCATCTGGTCCTTTACTCATATGAAATCAATCCTAAATGCTGATGAACTTGTTTGTAAGTGTCTAAGCAGACCATGTTATTGATACTTGCACACTTCTCACACAGCCAAAGCAAGTCCTGAACCAAAGATTCCTTTTTCTGCTGGAAGTTTATGGTCTGCACTTGATTTTCACACACACACACACACACACACACACACACACACACACACACATCTCAGGCTTTTAAGACAATCATCATTTCAGCCATGGGGACTTTTAAGTTGGTCCCCCTGAAAAACTCCACAAGAATCTCATCCATCTCCTTGGCCCAGCCGCCACCTCAGCTGCTGAAACCAAGTCACCTTCACAGCCATCAATGGCCAACATGCTTTTTTTTAAGCCACAATGGTCATCTCTGTGTCCATACGGCACGCTGGAGTGGCCGTCTGATATCTGCGATAGGTGTCCACTGCAATTAGACACCTGCAATCTGTGACTTGTGACTAGGAGTTGATGCAGTTAATGCGTTACACGGGTGGGAGGAATTAAACTCTGCTTGAAGTGACTAATTTGCCACATTGTAGGGCCTAGGCATGCTGATGGGAATCACATAGCTGTTCTGTATCAGGAGACTTACTGCTTTGTAGGGTGAGTCCTCATAATTTGGCCCATTTGGGCATCTGAGGTGGATTTTATGATCTCCCTGTGGTGGGCTTTGCAGGAAATTGCAGAAATTGGCTGAACACAAGTCAGATTAACTCTTCACTTCCTTTTCTTTTTAAGTGGCTCTGTGTTACAGGCATTAATATCAGTATTAAATAGGGGTGAATGGCCACGGTGGCCCCGTAGACTATCAGTTTGGGTTTTGAGGACCCATCTGGGAACCAAGCCATACTATCAGCTGGAACATCACTGAACTGTGACCCCTGCTTGGTTACAGGAGAAGCAAAAACATTCCTCGTGGGCTCTTTAGCCTCCTCCACTACAGCAGCTACTTTTTATAGAATCAGCTGACCGCTGGAGTCTGAGGAGGCTCTATATTGGGTGGGCTAAATCTATTTAATGATGGAGCCTTGTTGAGCCAGTCTTGTTTTATTATTATTATTATTTTTTTTTTTTTTTTGAGGTCCCACATAAGGGTGGCTGGCTTAGATCTTAAGGTCACCCTACAGTGCCTGGGTGATCAGGGCCTCAGTTTTCGTTAGGGCCCAACGACAGGCTAGGAGTTACCACCTGCAGGTAGTTTATCTGGCAACTGCTTAAGCAACTTATGTGTCTAAAACTCTAGGAGCCAGTGCAACCTAGCAGCAGTCACTTGTCACCAGTTCCAATCTGCCAGGGTAGGAGTGGTAATGTCATAGATTTGGTGAGGGTTATGAGTGGGGCCATGGCATTGCAAGGCTGCATAGCCTGAGGGGGCGGGGTCTGTTGCTGTTGAGGCCCCATTCAGAGGGGGCCACCTGGTGGGTAAACTTGACAAAAGGACTGTAAGACTACCAGATACGGTCCTTTTGTAGCCATATAGCTCAACTAATGGTGGAATCCCTTGTTGGTGGCAGTTGTCTTGTTAAACAAGACTTTTGTCTAATTTGGTAAGGAATATCAGTTTGCTTACTGGCTCATGTGGGTCCCAGAAACTGCACTTGTTGGCACCTGAGCCTTTTCAGAGTTGATGGCCCATAGCCCAGGCTGTATGGATCATAGAGCCAACCTTACCTAGGGTCTGGTCAATTTGTGTCGTAAGTAGGCCAGCATAGGATATCTTCATTGTAGTGGATGAGGAAGGAGAGTTTCTGGGTGTGTAGCAGATTTAGCCTTAGCCACTGGGGCATATTGCAGGAGAACAGAGATATCTCTGTGGAATCATAGAGAAAGTATACTGTAGGCCATTCCATAGGAACATAAATTGTTTCTGATATTTAACCTACAAAAGAATTGAGAAAGAGGCCTTAGCCAAATCATTAACAGCACACAATATCCCATGTGAGCTGTCACCACCCCTGTGATGGCCATGATGTCAGGATGTTCAGAAGCTGTGGGTGGCACCTAGTGTCTAATTTGTGGTAGTCCACTGTTAGCCTGAAGGTTTTTGAGGCCTTGTTTATCAGCCAGACTGGGCTGTAAACTGTGACGAGGTGATATGTGATATTACTGCCTGTAGCAAGACCTGATTTAATACAATAATGTCTTTCCTCCCCTCCTGGTCTGTGGTACTGCTTTTGTTGAATAACCTATCAGGATTTGGGTAAATTACATGGCAGGTAACCAGATGCTCCCTGCTATTTTGGCTTAACTCTTTTGTAGTGAGGAGGCATTTACCTCAAATAATTGTGATGTTTTGTGTCAGAAACAGCCATCAGGGCTATGTCTGAAATACACTCAGAAGTGAGAACCACGATAACTGCCACCCAAAGTGTCCCAAAACACTCCATTCAAAAGCATATGTGAATCTTTCTGCCATGGGTCACTCTATCTGTTCCCAAAGCCCTTGATGTCGTCAGTTGAGTACTACCCTTGTTGGGAGCAAGGATTATTGTCATTTGGGTATCTAAAAGTTCCCCAAAAGCCTGAATTTCTTTCCCCCATACCTTATTAAAAAAATTCTAATGAGAATATAGGGTCTGAGCCACATGGGGATCCAGAGACATTGGGAACGTCCCTAGCTATGCTATTCACCTGCTGTCTGAGATAGTTGGATTCGCAAAGCCCCTTTATCAAGGCTGAATAACGAACAGGCTGAATCAGACTCCCGGCCGTGGCAAGATCTATTTTCCAGTTTTTGTGTTGGTTCTCAGAGAAAGGCCCCTTTGAACACATTTCTTTTTCAGCAATGCCACTGCTGGTTGTGTGCTGAATGAATGAATGAATGAATGAAAACAGGTCCCCCAGAACCCCACAACCAGTGCAGCTGAGTGGAAACCCCCACACAGGACCCAGATTTCTGTCATTATCTGTGCTGCCTAGGGACACCAGGGGTGTTGGTGAGTGCCTGGGAATATGCAAGAAGCCAAGATTCCTGTACAGTTTTTCTACTCATTTCTTTCTACCCTTATGTACCTAGTTAACTCATCAAGCCTTGCAGGGAGTCTTCAGGTATTCCATTTGTCTTCAGGCCAAAGAATACCTAAGGCCTCCTTGAGAGTCTCATCATCCTCCCCTCTGGCCCAAGATTACTTGAAGGTAGGTGGATACTGTAGGGAGAAGAATTGTCATTCACTAACTAGTGACCTCAGGTCAACATGTGTAGAACGGTGCTACAGCAATGGAGTGTTGGGCTGGGGATTTAGCTCAGAAGCACAGCACCTTTCTGGCAGGTGAAAGGTCGTAAGTTCAATTCCTGGTACCGGAAGAAAAACAAACTGAAAAAGAGCAATGGAGTGTCTTCTCTTGGCTCTCTAACCCCATTAGAATGTTTCTGTTATCATGATACTGGCTTTTTTTTGCAAATGATGTCATTTTCTTTTGCTGCTGTTTCGAACACCATTTAAACACATACTTTAAAGCATTTAAAACCATTTAAAAACACATTTTATGCAACCCATCTCCCCACCTTCAGAATGGTTCTCAGGAAACCCGGAATCACTGTAGACGCATTCCTGGAGTCTTAGTTTTCACCACATAAGAGGCATGAGTGGTGGTGATCTATTTTACAGTCAAAATATTTTTAAAAATAACAATCATCTAAATAACTTCCCTCCCTGGTCTATGAATGCTGTTGTTACTGTGTGGAGGATATTAACCCAATTACATTAGCTAAAACTCAAAATTCCAGTCCCAAGGCTGCTCTCCTCACTCAGAGCAAATGAGTGGGACAGGCGTTACTCACGAATTCCTTGAGAGCTTTAAAATTGTATAATCCTCGCTGCTGGCCTTGGTGATCATTATCTTGTTAATTCTAGTTCCTAAAAATAGAATACACATTACATAAGCATTTGTCTTTAAAAAGTATTTGCATGATTTTTATTATTTGGAGAGAACCCAAATTTTGAATAGAAGACAGGAGAATCTACCAGCTTCTGATGACGTTGAACCATTGAGTTTTGCTCTTCACAGATGCGGCATTAGTGATCTCTGAAACAAGGTTATTTTGGTGTCCTCATCTTTGTTTATGAGAAGAGCTAAACAGCACAATGCACAAAATAACCATCGGGAAAAGTAAATTTTACTGAGATCGATAGCTGTTATTATGCATTTGACTGCGAAGAATAAAATATTTAACTAAAAGCATCAACCCTGAGCGTATGTGCTTTTTGAATAAAAGAATCCACAGGTAGACACTGGCCTCCTGGGTGGTCTGTGATGGGGAAGTGTCAGGCTTTTGGGCCAACTCCTCCTGGACTGTCTTAGTCAGGATGGCCAGAGGCCCAGAGTAGTCCCAGTATCCTCTCCTGCCATGACAAAGGCAATGTGAGAAAGAAGCAAAGGGGCTTTTATTTACTGTGGTCTCTCTCTTAATCAGAGTAGAAAATTTTTACTCCCAGAAATTATAATGGACAATTCTTTTTAAATGACATTAAAAATTAATATATGTTGAAGAGTTCATATAAGTAAAAAAGAAATACATAAAAAATAAAGCAATAATTTTTACTTATGTTTTTAAAATCCCTGGTAGGGCTTACCTAACATATGCAAGATCCAGGGTTCAATCCCCAGCAACTCAAAATAGATAAAAAGAAGTCCCTGAAGAACCTCCCCCCATGTGGCCTTGGCCAGAATTTGGTGTCACCATATCCTACTCAAATGATAAAGAAGACTCAGAAAATAAGTAGCCAGAATGTTCCACTCCTGAAGGTAGTTTCTGTGAGAAAGCAAAAAGAGTAGGCACATCACTGTTGATTTCACAACCAGCAGTGTTTGTCAATGTATAAATATAAGCTGCTGACTTTTCTTGGGAAAAAGTTACGAGTTTATGAATACGTGAAGGTGTCAGACTGAGTAGTAACCTGTTGCATCATTGCATGAACACCCTTCCGCATGCTCTATTATGACTGGAGGGCCTTGGCCACTCCTCTTTTCCCTCGCTCCATTCTGGGGCACGACCCATTATTCTTGAACTCATTGGTTAACCAGAAGACATTCATATTTTCCAAAAAGAACAACTTAAAACAAATTTTTATCAGTACACACTTGCCATACGCAGTGATTACATTCATTGTGAGGTATTGGTACACGTACACAACACATTTCAATTCTTTTCCCCTTTTCTTCCACCCTTAAAAATTTTTTTTCTTTTCTTTTTTTGGCTAACATCAGATGTATTTACTTATTTATTTTATAAATCTTTATCAAGTTAATTATCATAAACACAGATTAACAGCCAGACTAACAGGACAGAAAACACATAAAACAATTATACTAAATCAAGGTATACATTAGGAAGAACCACTCTTGCCCTTGCAAGACTTACAATCAAGGTGTGGAGAAAAACCCATACATATGAATAAGTAAAGAACATCATTAGGTAATACGCCTCCAGGGCAGTTTCATTCATTCACCCTACCAGTATTAACCATTTCGTGGCATTCTTCCATGTACTGTGAATCCCAACAGAAGATAAGAACTCAAGATCCCTATTCTAAGAGATTACGTTCTAGTGTGAGGACACAAAAATAATAAGCATCAGAACAATGTGCAAACCGGGTAGTGGTAAGATCTGTGGAGAGCCAGGTATGATAGCACACATCTATAATTCTACCACTTGAGAGGCTAAGGCAGAGCAGGGTCACCACAAGTTCGAGGCCAGCTTCAGCTACACAGTGAGTTCCAGGCCAACCTAAGTTCTGTCTCAAAAAAAAAAAAAAAAAACATTGTGGAGCCTGAGGACAGGTGATGTAAAACAGACAGTGGGGCGGGAGCTCTTTCATCCAGGAGAGTCAGAGAAGGCCTGTCTTCAAAGGTAACATTCAAGCTGAGACTTGACTGATGGCAAGACAGCTGTGAAAACATACAAAGGCAGAGCTTTGCAGGCAAAGGGAACAGCTCACCGAAAGGGCCCTGGGATGGGAACGAGGAAGAGAAAAAGGCCAATGAAGCTACAGCAGAGTGAGTAAGGGAGAGCAGCGACTGACAGTGGCTCATATTGGCCATGACCAATAGGCCACAGTGACAAGTTGAGATTTATTCAAGGACTGTAGGCTACAGGTCTCCTGTAAGGGAGGCGGTAAGGGAAAGAGGCCTCTGGCCTAAGCCAGGAGGTGGCTGGTATGGCCCTGATGGTACAGGTTTGGGGCTGGTTTTGGCAGCTGTGTGGGATTTATTAATACAGGTAATTCAGAGCTAGGAAAGGCAAATGTGGTATGGTACTAAACAAACTTTCCAAGAGGAAGCATAGGAAGGTGTTCCCGTGAAGGGGACCGGGGATATAGCTCAGCGGCACCGCACCTGCCTGGAAAGTGCAAGGTCTAACTTTGATTCCTGGTACCCACTCCTCAAAAAAAAAAGGGAAGGAAAATGAGCAAAATCTGAAAGTGGACTATCTGGAGTGGAAGACTGGGGAGACAGGGCTGGAGAGATATGAGACCATATTGTGCACATTGTAAAGTTCACTGAACAAGTGACTCTTTTTGTCAGTTCTTTGGCAACCACATGGTAGCCTGGAGTTGGCAGGGTGAGTGTCCGAAAGGTGGGAGGCAGATGCCTCAGGTGAAGTCCCTGGGCTCCTGTCAAGGGGCCTCACTGGGAGGCATTAACTACTTGGGTTAATTTAGCAAGGCCAGGGGACTGCTCCCTATCCTGATAGATTTCAGAGCTGTAAGGGATCCAGAAATGAAAAAGCACTCTGAAGAAGGCAGAATTAAGTCACATACGTTGGAAAAATAAACCAGAAAGCCATCTTACTAATTTACAGCAGAAAGTACCATTTTCTGGACATCCAAGACATTGTGTCATTAAATCAGTAGATAGTTGGATGAGCGTGGGCTTGGAGCCCAGGGTGAAGGGACCTTTCACTTATGTACAGTGGGCCCCAAAATTCTCTTCCCTCTCGTACCTCACCGTTCCTGGCCCTATTCGGCCTCTTCCTTGTGGAGTATGATGAAATCACCACTGCCAGGTTTGGTGCTCAGACTCTCAAAAAAAACCCCAAAAAACTAGAACAACTTAGCCCTTGTACAGAGCACCTCACACACATTATCATGTTTAGTTCTTGCAACAGGCTTATGAGATTTAGTTCTCTCCAACAAGCTTTACAGGGGAGGAAACCGAGATTTAGAAGGTGATGGACCTCTCCTAAGAACAAAGGGCTCTTGAGTGACACAACCTGGACTCACACAGGTGTGCCTGACTCCTTCACAGAAGCCTTTTTTTCCTGTGTTTGTTTGTCTTTAGTCATTGTCCCTTCTCTTGAAGTCTTGCCCTTCCAGCTCAGAACACATTTCGTCTTTTCCTATGTAACCCTAAGGGCAACCTCAGTTCCCAGATCCTCACATCCTCGATAAGGCCTCGGGAACTCTCCAGCACAAAATTAAAATCTTTAAATCTCTCCCTATTCATTCAGGTAGAACCAAGCCCTAAGCTCGGGCTGCAAGGCTGCCCACAGCCTCTTCACGTACCTATGCTCAGGCCGCATCGGAATCACTGGGGGCATTAAAGTGGACCTGCGATGGCCCCATTTTCGCCAGCCTCTGGCCTGGCCCCTGGGAGATGACTAATAGTGGTGATAAGCAGCATAGCTATTTACTCTTGCTTGTCACGGTTCTAGATGTCACACATGTATTAATTCACTAAACCCACAAATTACCTTATGACACTGATACTATTAAGTAGACCTACTCAATAAATGAGGCGATTGAGGAATAAGGAGGGTAATTAACTTGCCCAGTATCATTAGCAAGTAAGTAGTGGAGCTGGATTTAAATCCAGATCATCAGATCAAGAGCTGTATGTTGTGTCAATTGCAGACACCCACCACCATTGGATTTCAGGTCCTGAATTTGGATGCTTGCTTTCTGATGAAAACAGGCAATCAAGGCCTGCCTTCCAGGTGCTGGGGCGGAGGAGAGAGAAAACAAACAGAATCTGCAGGCAAAAACTTGATGGGCCCTGCAAAGGGCTTCTAGGCCTGGGTTAGATACACACAGGCCCAGTCTACTGCACGAGTCCTGACACCACATTTTCCCAAACTGGGCAAACCAGGAATGGCAGCTTTGACGTAAGTTCCTTAGAAATTCCCGGTTCTTTCTTCCTCAGCCCCACCCATGGTATCCTATTGCCCGAAATGGATTTCATAATTGAGTTGAAAGGCGGCCTTATTTCTCAACACGAGAAATAAACCTTTTGTGAAGGATTGGTCTATATTTAGCCTTTTTAAAATAGCCCAACCTGAACAATTTGCATGTGTGTGAATGTGTGTGTCAGTGTGTGGTGCAATCGCTATCAGCAAAGGGGGAGGTGGCAGACTGGCATAGGTCATAGGTAGAAGAATCTTAAAGGGAAGTAGGGAATTCTGAAGGTGATAGCTTAGCCTGCCATAGCCCAGGACTGCTTACAAGGATCCGGCTTTGAGCACCGAGGAAAAAAATTTCCGCCTCATTCTTTCCAGCTCAGCTCTGCTCAGGACCATTAGGGGTCTCTGTTGCTCTTTACTTTGGTATCTACTCCTGCTACTTCTTGGGCTTTGGAGTCTGCATCGGGCAACTTCCCCGAGAGACAGCTGAACCACAGGGCAAGGTTCCAAAGCCCAAGGTAGAGGATGTGATGATGCTAGTATCCATTTATCCGTTTATCCATTGTGCACACTTTCTGTTCAGTCCTTGAAGGTAGGGCACAAGGCAGGTTAAGAGGTTGAGTCATTTGCTATGTCCTACAGCTAATAAGGCCTGGAAGGCTGGGATGTGAGTCGAAGGCACATGCTTTGGGATTACTCTGGGATAACTGGTGGCCAGTGTCAGGACACCAGCCCAAC